TAAATTTATTTAAAAAACAATTTTTTAACCCAAGAAATGGTCCAAAGATTTGCTTTCATTTCAAAGAGAGAAAGAAAGAGTAAAAGAAATTATTATTATTATAATTAATACAATATATTATAAAAAACTAAAACAAAGTTATATAAGTTATCACAGAAGGCGGCGCCCAATCAATGCATTCAATAGTCTTTTATAATTATAATAATTATAATAATCAATAAAAACATAATAAAATCATTACTAAAATACAGAAGAAATTTTCAGATTTCATACCAAACAAAATGCCAATAATTTATTAATTCATAGGAAAGGGATTTATTTGTATTGTTATTAATAGTGTGTCTGTATATCGAGTTCCGATATTATGTCCATATATCGGGTGCCCGAAGGCATTAACCATTCACATACAACGTAAGTTTTATACGGGGGTGTTAGCACATATACCAAATGTATTATTTTGTTATTGAGTGAGTATTATCATTGAAATAACGGATTATAAAACACGTATAATTGAAATAAAATTACTTAATTTTTATACAATGACAATATTCTTGCATAACATACATATCGGGTATATTTGCGTAAAGTTTCCGCTGAAAACACCGCCCATTAAAGAGTACGTTATATACGAGTAGCAAAACACGATAGACGGCCCGTTTGTATGTCTGTCTGTGTCTCTAAGAAAGGGGTTATTGTCTTAAGTACTGGTGTTTGAACTTAAACTCCAAAACTTATTGAGAAAATAATGAAAAAACAATAATAAATAATACAATTATTATAATATATTTGAGTTCAAGTCATTTGAATGCTCGCAGAAAACGGCTTAATATATAAAAAACAAATATCCATAAAAAAATAGTACATTAAAATAAATTCATGTATTAATAGCCGTTATATAAGCGGTAGTACTGTATATGAGGTCAAGTATGGGCTGCCCTTTCCTTTCCGCACAATGTATTTATTTATTTTTTACACAAATAATAGACAATTAAATGAATTTGTTTTATAAGTAGTTTATGTTTGCGTTTTCAATACATATAATGTGTGGGGAAAGTGCGGCTCCTGTGACCAAACAATTGACAGCCCATTCATTCATCCCATTCTCCATAGTAAGTGCCTTCCCGTGAGTTGTAGGCCCAGGGCATGGATGCGCTGCTCCTCTTCTGGCTTTGGCCGTAAATATTTCGGCTAAGGTTTGGTCCGCCGATCCGGCCGTACGTCGGGTCGTACGCCGTGTCGTCCGTTGTGTGACCGCCGCCCACACCACTCGACGCCGTGTATGGGTCTGACTCTGGATGGGATGCACCGGAAGGCGGGATAGGAATATATATTCAATTAATTCAGTGTTTATTGTATATACAGTACAATTAAATTACTGGTAATATTTATAATCATAGGTTTCAGTGATGTCGAGGTTTGAGTTTTTTGCGGTTATTTTTGGTGAATATCTTATGTAAATGTATTGGTAAATAATAATCGTCAGGTTTTCTAAGTCATTGTCTCGTATAATACATATCGATATCCACTGTATTTAAAACTAATAATAGTTGTCTAACTAGTCTTTGACATGAATTATATTTCAAATATATTATATTTACGAAAAATGCTTTTGTTTTCACTATAATTGCAAAATTTGTTATTCAAATCAGTAGTAATTAAATGTTATATTTTATGCGTTAAACCCTTTGACGTATTAGTAGTGGCGCTGAACCGCACTTTGAATGCTCTCTCGCTGTCTATACGAGTAGTGTATAAATGATTGCATACCTAATGACCCGTAGAAAGACCCGTAAGAGGCAGAGCGCGAGTGATTTGGTATAGTCTTGAGGTATGAGTTCAAGAACCCACTCGACGGCACTTTTCGCATGTGATAGCCGTAGCCGTACTGACCGGCGCTCGCCTGTTGTGCTTTCGGCGACATTGGCTGACGTTTGGCAAAGTTGGGCACTCGAGCGCTGAATCCACAATAATACGGGTCGTCTATCGTGTCATCACAAGTATAACAATTTCAATAATCAATATTAATTCAATGCAAACAATCATTTCATTTAAACACAAACTCTTTACCCAATTGTCTCGATTGTTGACCCAAAGAGTATATATTTTCTTCCTGGTAGTCGGGTTTGGGTCCCAAAGTGTGTGCTTTGGGATTAGTATTAGTGGTACTGTTTTTGCTATGCTTTTTGTTGGCGTCGCGGGTCTTGTCTCTGGCTTTGTCTCTATTCTTCTCGAAATCTCTCGGCGGAAGTTTTGGCGGTTTTGGCTCCGATTGGGACGACTTCTTGACGGCCAACAAACCAGTGCTGGCGTAGTGTCCGGACGATCGATCTTGTCTCTGGCTTTGTCTCTATTCTTCTCGAAATCTCTCGGCGGAAGTTTTGGCGGTTTTGGCTCCGATTGGGACGACTTCTTGACGGCCAACAAACCAGTGCTGGCGTAGTGTCCGGACGATCGACTCCCCGATGAGGACGAGTTGTTGCCCGGCATAGAGTACGGGTCCTCATCCGACCCCTTCTGGCCATCAAATAGCGATATAAAGTTGGGAACCGATTGTCGCTTAGATATTGCTATTCATTAATTAAATTTAAAAATGTTTTGATTAATTGTTTTTCTCACGAAATGGTTTATTGCTTTTTATTAAAAATAATTTTTAAAGTTATTTTATCTTAAAAATAATTAATCCTAATTAAGAGATATTGTGTGGTAAATGTCATACTGGGAGGGAGTTTGGACTTAAGCATATCGAGTGCCACAATATTGATAATCATGACCCAAATGGGAACATCCAGTATATCGTTGGCATCCTTTACGAAAGCTATACAACTGATGCACTGGTCCTCCAGTTTCCGGCGCAGGCCCATACTCGAGAAGTCGAGGGCTATTTGCAACCGGACTTTAGCGAAGTATAGTTTGTCAAACTGGCTGAAAACGTCAAGTTCGTTTGGTAACCGAAAATAATAGAGTCAGCTCTGTGATGATAGGCTTTCATTGTCTTTATGCCAACCCTTCACATAGACATTGGTTTTGTCCACTCGTTTGATGAGTACATTCCCGGACTCATCCATCTTAACCTTCACTCCCAAACCGATCCGACGTTTAATATCGTCGGTCTTCGGGTCTCTCATCGGATTATCAAAGCCGTTGAGTCCAATCCTATAGCCATCGAAAGCGCTGTCACAGCCATTGATAGTTAGCACTGGTGTCCGGGCGTAGGCTTTGGCGACCCTCCGGTTCCTCTCCATACAGATTACTTTAGCCCAAATCTCATCATCGATTTGATCCCATTTTATCAACACTTCTTGGATGTGATTCTATACGAGGATTATATGAATAATTTATTATTAGAATATAATAATGAGAATATGTTATAAATATTGTGTGAAATTAATGACTGCTTTTATTCATGGATTGTCCCATACATGCGAACAACACCTGGACTTCACATACATATCAATAAGAAAATTAATTTCAATTCTAAGACAGTTTAATAGCAATCGATAGTGAGATTCATGTGAATTGTGTCAATCATAGACTGCGAATCAGGCGAAACATATATAACTATTATTATGATTATTGTTTGCAATTTTGTTTATTGTATTAATAAAATAGTTCAACACTTTTTATTGATGCCTTTGGGTCTCACTCTCTGTCTGTTTTCACTTATTTTTAAATTATATAATTTGTATGAGAATTGAAAATGAAATTTCTTAGGAGTTTTGATAACTTATCTCTCTCTCTCTCTCTCTCTCTCTCTCTCTCTCAGTTTTTATAAAGTTTTGTTTATTTGCATTAAAATAACACAAGTTTTTTGGGCAAAACATTAAAAGCGCTGTCACAGCCATTGATAGTTAGCACTGGTGTCCGGGCGTAGGCTTTGGCGACCCTCCGGTTCCTCTCCATACAGATTACTTTAGCCCAAATCTCATCATCGATTTGATCCCATTTTATCAGCACTTCTTGGATGTGATTCTATACATGGATTGTAGGAATAATTTATTATTAGAATATAATAATGAGAATATGTTATAAATATTGTGTGAAATTAATGACTGCTTTTATTCATGGATTGTCTCATACATGCGAACAACACCTGGACTTCACATACATATCAATAAGAAAATTAATTTCAATTCAAAGACAGTTTAATAGCAATCGATAGTGAGATTCATGTGAATTGTGTCAATCATAGGCTGCGAATCAGACCTAACTTATACTGTATAACTATTATTATGATTATTGTTTGCAATTTTGTTTATTGTATTAATAAAATAGTTCAACACTTTTATTGATGCCTTTGGGTCTCACTCTCTGTCTGTTTTCACTTATTTTTAAATTATATAATTTGTATGAGAATTGAAAATGAAATTTCTTAGGAGTTTTGATAAGACTCTCTCTCTCTCTCTCTCTCTCTCTCTCTCTCTCTATTTGTTTAATATTTATGTACATACGTATATATTTAATATTAATATTTGCTAAACTAAATTATAATATAGTCATTATTTTATTTTAATTAAGAAAATATTCTCTCTCTCTCTCTCTCTCCCCATATATGAGATGTCTTAACGACATTTGACTCGAATTCATATCAAATGTTATCAATATTTTGCTATAAAAACGAGAATATCTTCTCAAAGATAACTGAATTTCTCCATAAACTAAACTAAAATAATATGAAAAAGTAAAACACGAATTAAAAGTGAAATTATTATCAAATTGTTATCTTAGAGCCAAAGAATGCGAATTAAAATAACAAAAACAAAATGTTTTGCCCAAAAAACTTGTGTTATTTTAATGCAAATAAACAAAACTTTGTAAAAACTGAGAGAAAAATTATTATCAAATTGTTATCTTAGAGCCAAAGAATGCGAATTAAAATAACAAAAACAAAATGTTTTGCCCAAAAAACTTGTGTTATTTTAATGCAAATAAACAAAACTTTATAAAAACTGAGAGAAAAGTCCAAATAAAACCGAAACGAAAAACAATTTTGATTCTTGTTTTGTGATTACATCTGCTATTTGTGAACCAATTTTTATTTTCCTTCTCTTATAAACCAAAAGTAAATTAAACCAAAAGTTAATTTCAAACCCGAAAGAGAAATAAAAGCCTTATTTTGAAATTATAAATGTTTTTTCTCATATCAAGACTAAACATCTTTATAACGCATAAGACATACATATATTAAATACAAAGAAATGTAATTTAAATCAAATGTTTTCCTCCAAAATCACGACTCAATTTCTTGTCCACAAAAATTGTTTACAAAAATACTATACAATTGAGTCCTAAATAACAGACAATTAAAACTAAATGATTACAAATGAGATGATTTATATGTCATATACCTTTCCCTATAGTTTACGTTTGTAGTCAAAATGTAAGTAAGTTTATATCTCATGATAATTTTAATTAAAGTGTTAAACATTTGGGTAAGTTGTGTGCTTATGTACTCTAAACCTATTTTTGGTAAATTATAATTATGGTAATAATTGTATTTCATTACATACACATTACTAGATATTTGTAAATATTAAAAATAAAATAAACTACCATGTTCACTTTATCCTGTCTTCCACTTAAATGAAGTACAAAAATGACAAAAATTATTTTGTTTTTGTTATGTAAGTGAAACTTGAGTTCAAAAAACTAATTATTTTGTAAAAATCCTCTGTAATAACAAAATTAAAAATATATAAGATTTTGATTAAAGAATAGGTTTTCACATAAAAATTACATTTAAATATTAAGAGGAAACAAAAATATGAGAGAGCGAGAGAGAGAGAGAAAGAGAGAGAGAGAGAGAGAGAGAGAGAGAGAGAGATGCAAATATTTTATGTGTACATAAAAAACAGTGCATTAAATAGAGATTAGAGAAGTGAGTGAAATGTATAACAAAGTCCGTGATTTGAAATTAACTAAATATACAGTATATGGAAAGGGATATCAAATGCAAACATCAGTTTTACATTCATTCAAATATAGAGTACTATTAAAATTAATTTCACAATTTGTAAACCCATTCAACACACGAATACATGAGAGAACCTATTTTTGGTAAATTATAATTATGGTAATAATTATATTTCATTACACAAACATTTATAGATATTTGTAAATATTAAAAATAAAATAAACTACCATGTTCACTTTATCCTGTTTTCCACTTAAATTAAGTACAAAAATGACAAAAACTATTTTGTTTTTTGTTATGTAAGTGAGACTTGAGTTCAAAAAACTAATTATTTTGCAAAAATCCTCTGTAATAACAAAATTAAAAATATGTAAAATTTTGATTAAAGAATAGGTTTTCACATAAAAATTACATTTAAATATTAAGAGGAAACAAAAATATGAGAGAGAGAGAGAGAGAGAGAGATGCAAATATTTTATGTGTACATAAAAAACAGTGCATTAAATAGAGATTAGAGAAGTGAGTGAAATGTATAACAAAGTCCGTGATTTGAAATTTAAATTAATTTTAAAATGTTTGAAAAGCAAATGAGAGTCGCATTGGTTTGCTATAAAGTATACGTTTGTATGACTGATATAAGGGTCACATGTAATCGGAAATTCAGAGCCGAAAATCAATTACTAGAATATATTTTACATATATTTTTCTTGTCTCCCCTTTTGGGCCAACCATTGCATTGGCTCTCAATTACTATTCACCCAAAAAAGTGAGAGAAATCCTAAATGCAATGCAATGTATGATAGCATAGATGTTATCCTTATTTAGTTTGCATTAAATTTTATGTTTTGGCGAAAAAATATCAATTAATTAGAGCAATCAATACATTCAATAGATTTGTCTGTAATTTAGTTCAATGGAAAGGAAAAACATTATAATATATTTTGCTTTAAATTCTTGAATTCAAGAATTTTTATTTTGTTTTACATTTTTATTAGCGATTAAATTATTGGCAATTAATTTATAAGTGAAATGTATTTTTCGTATTGAAACCAATTTTATCGCAAATTAATATCAATTTCATTAAAAACAAGAATCGAAAGTAAAATAAAAGAAATTGTATTAATTATACGCGAAATTAATGAAATAATTTATCCTTAAATTAAATCTAATTTTATTAGCTTTTAGTGCATTTTGAAGGGCTTTCTATACATGAACTGTAAGGACGAGTAATGCAACAGAATTTCATTTCTCGGTATTTATTATTAAACATATTTACCATAATTTTTATTCAAATAATTTATTTGAATTTAATATACAATTCATGCGAAGGAAATGCAAAGTTTACAAATGTTTGGGTTTTTTGGTTTTGATTCACAAAATTTCTTAAAACATAACAAATGATTATTTTTCTTCTCGTAATTATGTTATTATCGATGATATTATAGACACTATTCTCTAATCACATAATATTAGCCATTCATACGATTTGCCCGAAAGAGAGGACCTCTTATTAAAAAGCAATGAATCAAACGATAGATAATATAATGGTATCGAATGGCGAGGAATACTAGACATCACTTATCTATCACTTAATTATTATCTAAAAAAGTGAAACTTATTTTTCCCCACAAATGGGACCCAAATATTAGTTAAATATTTTGAGATAACATTAAGTGAAACGCTTTTTTCTCTCTCACTATCTCTGCCTCTCAGACAAAATGCATTTCAATTCAATATTTGACTTCTCTTTCCTTTTCGACATCAAATCAAACGAGAAAATAATGAAATGCTATTAGAATTGCATTTCAAGTGAAGTTAATCCAGTTTTTTAAAAGTTGCTTTCATTCACTATAATACCAGATTCTCTACAATTCTCTCTCTCTCTCGCTCTCTCTCTCTCTCTCTCTCTCTCTCTCCTTGACCTAAATCACATGCAAACGACTTAATTAGACGACCAGTGCTTTCAATAAATATATCGGACGATAGCAGAGGTAGAGAAACGAGAGAAACGGGACACACCTTTATCTATACATCTGTTCACATATTTGTTAGTTTCAAATCAGTTTATATTTATTAAATAGTCTTAACAAACATTTTATACCAATTAATGCACAGAATTAACGCATAATATGTAATGATTTTTGCCATTAAATTAACGATTGAGAGAGAGAGAGAGAGAGAGAGAGAGAGATCAAGGAAAAATTGTGATACATATTCATTAAATCTACTTTAAATTCTCTCTCTCTCTCTCTCTCTCTCTCAGTTTTTATAAAGTTTTGTTTATTTGCATTAAAATAACACAAGTTTTTTGGGCAAAACATTTTGTTTTTG